CACTAAGAACAGAAGCAATGCAAATTAAAACCACACTGAAATGCGGGACGACAAAGACTCTCTCCTTGACCAAACCTGAGTCAGGCTATTCTGAGCTCGCTTCTTGACTAGGCCCTGACCTTAAACTCTGTCCTCGGCTCACTTGGCCTGGTTTTAGCAAGAATTCTGCTGGGTCAGGTTAGCAAAAATCTTCTACATTCAGTATCTGAACAAATTTCTCATTCCCCACCCTTGGTATATAACCATCCTTGATAAATGAACAAATACTTCCACCCTTATCTTATCACCCTGGACTGCCTCCCCAAGAACCCTGTCAAGATGTTTAGCCAGAATTCCTTACCCCTGACATTTCTTCTTGGAAATTTTCTATCTACAGTTCCCTCCCTGCTCCTTGGCTATTAAATCACCACTTCCCACTCTTTCAATCAGAGATAAGGCTCCACCTCTCCCCTACTGTAAAAACCCCATTGCAGCAGTCCCTCTTGAATGAAGCCTTTCTTACTATCCTTCACAAGGGGCATGAAAATGTCTTCCTTTACAGTGAGATGAACAGAACAGAAAGTTGCTGAAGATGCTCAGACACTCTCAGAGCTTAGAGATTAACCACAATGCATCAAGTTCTGAGAGTCAATGAGGGAAGGAGACTTCCAGAGACAGTTAGGGCTCAGGCTCCTATGCCTCAGTACCAGCAAACCTGCAGTAGAACAGAGGCTCAGAGAAACCCTGAGGCAGGACCTGAACAGCAGAAGGGCAGTGGGATTCAGAGACGCTGCCCACCATAAGGAGGAAAAGAACAGAGGCAGAGGAGCGCACACTCCACTGGAGTAGGGGCACGTTGCTGTAATGAATCGTCACAGAAAAGGCATCATTTAGAAATTCATCTATCCTGAAGAGGGTACCTTGTTGAAGTTCACACAGAGGCATCATTTGTACTGGTAACTTACAGGCCCTGCTGTTGTCCTCAGCCCAGGATCTGGTCTAAGCAGGTGGCAGAGATTCTACAGACAAGGAGAAAAGGGATCTTAACATAGCTCCATATGAGAAGAAAAGAAGGAAACAGTCCTGAATTCTTGACCATGGAGCCTTATGTACTGCCTTGGGTAGGAGATCATATTCCAAACAACTCTATGAGGAAGGAGTGTGGTTTTGACGGTAAACAAGAGGGCATTAAGGGGGGAGGGCGTAGCTCAGTGGCAGAGTGCATGCTTAGCATGCATGAGGTCCTGGGTTCAATCCCCAGTACCTCCTCCAAGAATAAATGAGTACTAAATAAATGTAATTACCTCTCCCCACCAAAAATAAATAAATAAGCTTAAAAGGAAAAACAAATAAACAGGAGAGCATTGACTCTGACTTCAGTCTCTCCTCCTACATGCCACTGATTGAGCACATATTCAGCACAGGACTAGAACCAAGGAATTCACACGCAACATCTCGAGGTTCTGTGGAGTTGGTTCTCTATCGATTATTCCTTTTAGCCTCTCCCCCATGCATATGCAAACACATGGGATCTTTGTAAGCATTACAAGTACTGACTGACTCCTCAGAATGCCCTCCAAAGCGTGCCGTACTATGCACAATGCAGAATGGTACCCCACTGGCAGGTCATCTCCAACACGGCAAATGATTCACCTTTTCCTCTTCTGCCTGTGTGATAAGTGAAAATCATCAACCCTGACGTTGTTTGTACTTCCTCTTTTCTAGTGAGTTAGCGCATGATTCCAGTCATTGGACATTTTTATTTCTTCTGTGATTTGGCCAATTCATACATTACTCAAATCTTCTCCTAAATGGTCCTTTTTGTTTTGTGGTGCTTTTTATATATCACAGATACTGTAATTAGTGTTTGAATTATGGGTTAAAATTTTTCTCCTGGTTTATCATGAGAAAAAAAAAGGACAGCTCAGTTACTAAACCCTATTCCATCCACAGTGGCACCCTGCCTACACTCAGCATTTGTTCTCCAGAACTTCAGTTCCTTATTGTACTGACTAAATTGTGAAACCTAACCGAACATCCAGGTTTGCTTCATTTTCTCTTTTAGTCATAAAACCATAAATACATTCTGAAGAAGCACATAGTACAGATACATTTCACTTCTCAAACATACCACTGATTTCTGAGAAATGTTACCTTGTTTGCATTCCAGAAGGAAGTTATTTTTTTAAAAATGCATGTGTGTTTTAAATAGTTGTCAAGCATCTACTATAAGCCAGGCCCTCAGTATTAAGCACAACAAACAAAATATCAGCCTTCAGTAAATTGGTAGGTGAGGAGAAGGGGTCACCTCATGGCTGTTTTATTATGGGAGAACCATAGATTTTTCTGAAAGAGTAAACAGAGAGAAAGGAAGAAAATAAGGAAGGAGGAAATGGTCCATCTCAAATTATTTGTTCCTCCCTGCTATGAACACAATATTCAGAAGGAAACTGATAAATGCTTATGTTTAAACTTTCAATAGTTCAGAAAATTTTTAATCTAAAGCTTCTTTTACCCAAAGGAAGTATGGTGATACATTTTCATAGATCTTTCCAGAGCCAAAATCAGGTCACCGAAAGACAGGAACTTATGATAAAGTTTATACTCAACAGATTTTTACAACTGACTTTTATTTTTTAAACTCATTATACCATATTGAAATCTTAATATTTGAAAACACTCTCATCTAACTCCTTTCAGTGACTCTAAAAATGTGTCATTAATTGGGTGTGCTATAATTTATTGAACAGTTCCCCAAAGTTAAATAATAACTTAAGTTTGAATGTTACAAATAATGGTCTGTTTCAACTGTCCCATCTTGATGTATGTTGGAAGTTGACCAAGAAGGTGAAACAAAAGGTCTGTAACTATTTTTCCAAAAGATATTTGTACCTTATATTTGGTTGCATTTTCTTATTCTGAAGGCAAGAATCTTTTCATCTTGCCATAGCCCCTTCACCCCTAGTTTTTCTTCACTTTGCTTTGGCAAGAAGAGGGAGTCAAAAGAAAAAAATTTTATGGCCTTCCTAGTCAAGGTTGTGATTTGTTGTGGGAGAAGCTTGAAGTGATCCCACATTTAAAAAAGTATTTGCTCTCTTGGTTCCCAGAACCTAACAAGCACGAGATGCAGCTGCACTCCACAGAGAAAGATGGAAGAATAGCCCCTTTACAGAGTCTTGCTTAGATCATAACCTCATGTTTCCTCCATAAATATAACCCACCATCTAAACAAATGAATACAGCACATTAAAGCAAGTACCTTATTTTTATCACATGAACACCAACACCTTTTGAGGATTTTCAAGAGGATGCGGGTCACTGAGCATCACCTCACAGAGGATGCCCAGGGACCACTAACTACTATGCAGAGACCCTGAGTGGCAGAAAGTGACCCCATTTGCTGCCCAAAATGGCTGAAAGACTTCTGTTCTCAATCTCTGCCATGGACAGAATCCTCAAATAATCAGCAATTTAATGTCAGGTGATGAAAACACTACTTCATGCCAACGACAACTGAATTCTAATATATCCCTTCTTTAAATTCCTAATTTAGGATTTGAAGGGGACTCCTCTCACCCCAAAAGAAGAATCTGAAGAGGGGTCCTGCATTATAGCTAAAGTGCAATTACCTGTACTGGTCCCTCTGCTCAGACAAGCCTGGAGTCAAGGAGCACACAAATCAAGCAGAACTTAAGGACCTTACACTTCTCCTAGAACGTAAAGAAGAATCAGGGCTCGGAGAAGGTGTGCTGCACTCCAGGTGTGTGAGAAAACAGTCTGAGCAGCCCTTACCTGACACAGTTGGTCCCAAGGGACCCAGTGCAGGGTGGCGATAACTCAAAAACTTTCTCTACATCTGTCTCGGGTCTGCTGAGAGTCAATGTGCCTTCACACAACCTCTGGAAGAGAGGCCTCAGCCCCAGTGAAACCAAGTTCCCCCAAAACCAAGTTCTCCTCCCAAGTTTATGATTAACATCTCTATTCAAAACTCTACTCCCTTTCTTGTCTCACCCCTGGTCCCCTCAGGATTGAGAGGACAAAAGGAAAGAGGAGATTGAAACTGAGTGGGATCCTGCAGGGCGCTCCCAGGTACAAATTCCCTCCGTGTCCCCCATTTCTTGTCTGTAGAAAAAAGCTTTAGTGTCCTAGGCCTTCCCTGAGTTCCACAGAGCAGACTCAAGCACTTGCTAACTGGGGATGTGAGGGAATACAGACACAAAGGAGGAGCAGTTGAGCAAGAAAAGCAATGACCACTTAAACATGGTTCAGGATAAAACGGATTCCTCGGAGTCCTCATTCCTCCTCAGGGGATACGCATAACAATCTGACGCATGTCTCTGGGGTGTTCTGCAGAAGCTAAGACCTCTCCCCACCCAGGTGGAGGATGGTGATTCCATGGCCCACAAGCTAGCAGACCCCAGACTGGTTCAAACCAGGAGGTTGATGATTCAGATTCCCGAAACATCGCTCTGTTACCTCCCCATCAACCAATCAAAAGAAAATCAGAAAATCATAATCCCTGCAGCCCTCATCCCATATGTCGCCTTTAAAAACCCTTCCCTCGAAGCCATCAAGGAGTTCAGGTATTCTGGTATCAGGCTGCCTGTTCTCCTTGCCTGGTGCCTGCAGTAAATGCTGTTACTTTCCTTTCCCACAACCCAGTGTCAGTCAGTTGGTTTTGCTGCACAGTGGGCAAGTGGACCCAAGTTCAGCTGGGTCACACCAGGATCACCAATTCTTTGCCACTGTGCAAGTTATAAAAATGTGCACCTTTTGAGTAGATTCTGCCTGTGGACTAAAGACTTGGTAAGAGGCATGAAGGCTGGATTTTAGACCCACTCACCCCTTCACTCTGTCACCCCTATTCCTGCATTTCCCCCGCTACTCCTTCCTCCCTGGGCATTCCCTTCACTGGAGTTCCTGTTGTATCAGATATACCCTGCTCAAGGACACAATCACAGGCAGAGTTGGGATTAAGTCTACTTCTGACACTTTACCCTCTGACCCTGTTGGGACATTGAGGCTTAGAAACAGGAACAAAGCCAAAGGGTGGGGCTGCCGGGGATCATTTATATTCTGCAACTCCAAGGGATTCAAACACCAAACCAGACACAGTTTGGAAGAGCTGCCCAAAGGAAGACACAACAATGTCAAAGCAACAGGTGAGCTGAAAAGACATAGCCTTCAATAATCTCAGGGGACATAAAAGAAAGAGGAAGGGGGGAAGGTATAGTTCAGTGGTAGAGTGCATGCTTAGCATGCACAGGGTCCTGGGTTCCATCTCCAGGACTGTTAAATAAATAAACCTAATTGTCTCTTCCTGCCCAAAAAAATAATAAAATAAATTTAAATATTGGCCTAATGGGCAATTGATTTTTCCTAAATTTTATTTATTTGTTTATTTTTTTTGAGGGGGGAGGTAATTAGGTTTATTTGTCTATTTATTTTAATGCAGATACTGGGGATTGAACCCAGGACCTTGTGCATGCTAAGCATGAGCTCTACCACTTAAGCTGTATTCTCCCCAGGGGCAATTGATTTTTTTAAAAAGGAGGCAAATGTAGGAGACTGTATAAGATGAAAATATGTGCATTTCCATTTGGACTGTTTTCCTGACAGTTGTGAGTGTGTGAGAGAGACCCTGGGGATATACTACATGGAATCCTTGTGGGGAATCACATGTTGAGCCTGGGCCAGTGTAATTATCTGTCAGCATCTGACAGTGTCTGAGAGTGAACTCTGTGGAGACACTGTGACTCCGTGTGGGAGGTGGACCCCTGACTGGGATGAGGGGGTGAAACTGTGTGTGTCTTCATGACTGTGTGTGAGTACAGCTCACAGTGCACGTCACAGTGAGGAGTATGGAGAGCTGTGTGTGACGTGTGAGTTGCCTGTCGTGCATGTTTTGTGTGTGTGTGTGTGTGTGTGTGTGTGTGTGTGTTGAATCTGGGACTGGGTGCTCACCTGTGAATGTGTGCATGTCTTTGTCTGCATGTGAGGTTCTCCCCTACATGGCAATGACGGTCTAAGTGACTGTGGGTCTTTCATGCATATCAGTGTGAATCCTGGTGGTCAGAACTGGAAGTCTCGGGGACTGTGAGTTACCCAAGACTCATCTCTGAGCATTAATGAGAGCAGAATGAGTGATTCCTTAGATGCCTCTTCTCAAGTGGAGTGGGGGGAGGCGACCTCAGGCTGGAGGGGGTTGCGTCTCCAGTCTCAGTCAGTACAGTGACACCCTCTTTGGCTCAGGCGTCTGCCCTCCAATCAGTCATTCCCATCGCCTTACAGAAGGAGGGTGAGCAGACCCTGGCCCCTGGGGAAAGGCGGTTGTGGGACTTGGTTTCAGAGAATCAATCCTTCCTGAGGCTAGAAGGAACTAATTCAGCCTCAGTCCAGACAGAATTTACGGGAGATATCAGTCAACAACTTGCATATTCTCCCCAATTGCTTTCCTGCACCCCTTGTACAAGTGCTGTGTTCTCAACAACTTGTACACATTCTGGAAAGGATATGCCTTCCCCTTGATAATTCTGATGCATGTCCATCCCACACACGGGGGTTTCCTTTTCCATTACTATTTCCCTCTTCTTTAAACAAACGTTTTTCACTGGAGTGAACTTTTATGTTTGTATATTTTTACATCCTCAAGTCTTGCCTTCAGAGTTTCAGATAGTAGACACTGATCGGAAGGCAGTGTTCCAGAAGGGCCTCCCCCTTCTGATAGTCGCCCCTGGGTGGACCCTGTATGTGCCAGTGATTAGGCTAAAGGTTTTGCATATATTAGCTCATCTATCCTGAGAATACCCTATGAAGTAGGAATTTCTGATAATCCTCCTTGTTCCGAGGAAACTGAGGCAGGGCGAGTTCAAGTAATAGATCTAAGATCTCACCACTAGTAAGGGGCAGAATCAGGATTTGAATCCAGGCAGCTGGGCTCTTGAACCCTTGCTCTTAACTACGACCCTCTCATCTCTTCAAAGACACAGGGACCTGACCGTGCTGAGGTGGAGAGGTGGGGGTCCTCAGAGTTTGTCCTCTGATGTCTAACCTGGGAGCCCCTGGGAAGCCCTGATTTGTAGGAGGGGAGCCCACACCTGGCCATGCCCCCTCATCCACTCTTACCTCCCCACAGCAAGTCCCCTACACACGGGCTGTGTCCTTGTCTGTTGGTTCTTCAGTGACAGTCAGAGGGAAACCTGCTAGCTGTTTCAGGTGGGTACTCTATTTCAGGGGTGGGGAGGGGAAGGAGAAGTGATAATATCAGAGTTGGGGGTCACTTCATGTACGAGTGATGTTAAAATGCATAACTAGCATAATGGCAGCACCATGCAGGTGCAGGTCCTGGAGACCCTCTGGTATCAGGCATTAAGCCTACAGGTGCAGGACTGCTGGCAGGCTGTGGGGTCTGGGGAAAGGAGTCATGGCTGTGGCTCTTTATCAAGGGGCACAGGCTTGCCGGGGGATGAGCCATGGGTAGGGCCAGGCCAGTGACTGCTGCCCAATTTGAGTCTTGGGCCAAGGAACAGGGCATCTCTCCACCCTGGGCAGGATGAGCTTAAGCAGCCCCTCAGAACAAGGATTATAATATCCCCCAGGAAGGCCTCCCTTCTACCAGGGAGGAGTTGGGAAAGAACGTGTATGTGTATGTCAAATGTGGGTCCCGCACAAGAAAGGGACGCTGTTCAACATGCTATGTGCTTTGCCCATCAGCAAGCACCCACAAATGCAGGTGGATTTCCATACTGGAACTGATGAGAACTCGGACATCGCTTTCCATTTCCGAGTGTACTTTGGCATATCTGTGAAGCTAAACAGCCGTCAGAATGGGAGTTGGAACTGCGAGGTTTCATCCTGCGAAGTGCCCTTCGTGGAGGGCCAAGAATTTGAACTGCACATCTTGGTGCTACAAAATGAGTACCAGGTAAGGGTGCCCAGGAACCATCAGGTACACAGCCTCCACAGGCCTCACAGGACACAGCTCTCCCTTCCTGGCTTGCCCCAGGGTCCATCAGGATCCACCTCCCATAACTACTCCTGCCCCTTTAATGACAAAGCACCCTCTGCCTGTACCACCATCCTCAGGTCTTTTCCCAAATCTAATCAGGGTCAAGATCAGCTCACATGCCATTTCCCTCAAAGTGGAGAATTTCCTCTGACTTCACCCACAGTTATTTCTACCTATGCTGTTATTATTTGAATTTTTGTGTAGCTAAATGATTAAAATATGCATACGAATAATCATGATCCACCCCAAATTAAGTCTTTCTCTCATTCTCAAGCCAGCACAACTGTTCCTAGTTTCTTTACGTTTCTTCCAGAGATAATACACGCTTATACAAGTACCTCCACCTGTCTACCTTATATGTACTTTCATTTATTTTTAAACAGTGTTGTAAGTTTCTCTATATATTATACCATGAGGACTAGAGTTTATTTGCAGTCAAAGAATGTATCATAGAGAAATCCTTCTATCCATTATGCTCTATCATTATTTAATGTTTGCATATTATTCCAGTAGAAGGATTACCGAACATGATCTAACTTGACCTTTATTAACGCACACTTAGGTTGTTTCCAATATTCTGCTCTCACAAATGATGCCGCATTACGGTTTTGATACCACACTTTTGTCACTATCAACTTCCCAGTACTTAACACTGGAGGAACTGATTCAAAAAGCACATGCATTTTAAATATGACAAATGAACACCTAAAAAGTGACTGCTTCTCCACAGCCTCACCAACAAAGAGTATGTTCAAACAGTCTGAACTTTTTAAATAGCTAGGCTAAACAATAACATTTTTAAGACCAAGGTGAAGCATCATTTCATATGTTTATAAGCTGTTAAAATAATATACTATTTTTTAGCTATATGTACGCTTCTACTTCTTTAAGATCACTTGAGTTTCATTCTTCACACCATCACTCCAGATCTGGGCTACTCAAAGGAAAAACTGGGTCATCAGAGTAAATGGCAGCAAAGATTTGCAGAACTGAGATGTATGCATTCAATGAACACTTGTCAACCATTCAGCCTGTGATGCTCTGGGCAAGATACAGGGATTCAAGATTCATGAGAGACAATTCTTGGCCATGAGAATCTTTGAAGTGAGAGGAAACGCCAAACAAATATAGACCATGCAACAGACAGTGGTAGAACCTCACTGGAGGAATAAGAGAAGTACCGAAAATAGAGTGAACAAGACTCCAAAAGAGTCACAAACGTAGTCGATAAAAAAGCAGCATATCTACCAGGTTTTGAAGTGTGAGAAGGGGTTTTCCTAGTAGATGGTGTGTATACTAGGGCAGAAACAGAAAGGAAGACTGAGTTTGTTTGATGGCATACTGTATTTCTGACACATTTTCTCTTTCAGGTAATGGTAAATGGCAAGCATCTTTACAGCCTTAACCATCGACTCCCACCGCAATCTGTGAAGTTGGTGCAGGTGTGGAGAGATGTCTCCCTGACCTCAGTGTGTATCTGCTAGAGAGGGATGTGACCAAACTCCCCACCGTCAAGGAGGTCCCGCCATCTAAGTGACCATGAGACTCCCAGAGTTCACTAACAGAATGCTTCCTCCCCACCCTTCCCCAAAACTTGGTCATTAAAACTTCTAAGAAATTAATACAATTTGGTTCTTGCTTCAGGGAAAAAAGAGTAAGTGGTCCCCACCAAGAGGGGTGTGGCAGCAGATGGGAAAGAGCGAGGACAGATACTGGATTAAAAAAGATGTGGTGTATATATACAATGAAATATTATTCAACCATAAAAAAGAATGAAATTATGCCATTTGCAGCAACATGGACATAGAGATTATCATACTAAGTGAGAGAAAGACAAATATCATATGCTATCTATTATACGTGAAATTTTAAAAAATGATACAAATCTTATTTATAAACCAAAAATAGACTCATGGACATAGAAAACAAACTATAGTTACCAAAGGGAAAAGGCAGGGAAGGGAAAAATTAGGAGTTTTGGATTAACAGATACACGTTACTATACATGTAGAATAGATGAACAACAGGACCTACTGTGTGGCACAGGGAACTATCTTCAATTTCTTATAATAACTTGTAATGGAAAAGTATCAGAAAAAAATATATATATGTACAACTGAATCACTTTGCTGTACACCAGAAACTAACATTATAAATCAACTACACTTCAATTAAAAAAAGAAGATAAAAATTATTACTAGAGACAAAGAACAACATCGTAAAAGGCAGCATTTCATCTAGGGGGGAAAGCATAGCTCAGTGGTAGACTGCGTGCTTAGCATGCACAAGGCCCTGGATTCAATCCCCAGTACCTCCATTAAAATTAGTAAATAAATCTAATTACCTCCCCCACCAAAACAAAACAAAATTTTTTTAATTGAATTAAAAAAATAAAAAAAAACAGTAACAATTGGAGACTTTAATACTCCTCTTTCAATAATGAATAGTACAACTAGACAGAAGATCAAGAAAATAGAAGACTTTCCCAGGGGGGTGGAGGGTGGGAAGGGATAGACTGGGATTTCAAAATTGTAGAAAAGATAAACAAGATTATACTGTATATAGCACAGGGAAATATACACAAAATGTTATGATAACTCACAGAGAAAAAAATGTGACAATGAGTGTGTATATGTCCATGAATGACTGAAAAATTGTGCTGAACACTGGAATTTGACACAACATTGTAAAATGATTATAAATCAATAAAAAATGTTAAAGAAAAAAAGAAAATAGAAGACTTGCACAACACTATAAAACAATTAGGTCTAACAGAAATCTACAGTTCACCCAACAACAGGAGAATGCAGATTCTCCTCAAAGGCACATGGATTATTGTCCAGAATAGACCATGTTAGGCCATGAAACAATTCTCAAAAACATTAAAGGACTGAAATCATACAAAGTATGTTGAGCACAATGGAACTAAATTAGAAACCAAGAATAGAAAGAAATTTGGGAAATTCACAAATGTGTGGAAATTAAACAATGCACTCCTATATAACCAACTGGTCAAAGAACAAATCACAAGAGAAATTAGAAAATATTTTTAGATAAATAAAAACAAAAACACAACATACCTAAACTTATGAGATGCAGCAAAAGTAATGTTTGCAGGGAAATTTATAGTTATAAATTCCTAAATTAACACAAAAGAAAATTTTCAAATAAATAACCTTTCACCTTAAGAAACTGGAAGAGCAAACTAAATCCAAAACAAGCAGAAGGAAATAATAAAAGATGAGAAAAGAAATAAATGAAGTAGAAAGGAGAAAAACAATAGACAAAATCAAAAACCAAAAGTTGGTTCCTTGAAAAGATTAACAAAACTGGCAACCTTTAGGTATACTGAGCAAGAAAAAAGAGAGAAAGCTCAAATTATTAACAGTTGGCAAAGAAACTTTTTAAAAGTCTATTAGAACTTACATTCAGCGAAGTTACTGGACAAGACATGAAAACCAACGGCATTCTTATACACCAGCTTAAGAGTCCGTTTGCAATAAAGAGCTTATTCACAATAGCAACTAAACCCTTAATGCTCCTAAAATTCAATCAAATAAAAGGCACGAAGGATTTGTTTAAATTGTGAAATTATGCACATAAAACTCACAAATCAGAATAATTAAAATTAAAAAAAACAAAATATTCATGTACCCACCACCAAGCTTCAGAAATAAAACATTAGTACCTTATAATCTCCCTAGTTGTCCCTCCCCACTGCCTCCACTTTACTCACCTTCCCAAATAAACTCTATTTTGAATTTGTTTCTCATTCATTCGAGTTACAGTTTTACTATCTATGTCCACAAATCAATTAGGAAAAAACCCTATAGAACTTACAGAATGTAATACAAAACTGAATAAGTGGACACACACATCACATGAATGGAAAAGAATCAATTTTAAAGATTCCAGTTCTCCCGTAAATTAATCGAAGAAGTCATGAATTTCTAAGCAAAATCCCAATAGGACTTCAAAGAAATTCTCAGACTCAAAAATTCACACACAGTGTAAAAAGGTCAAGGATAGCTAAGACAATCTTGAAGAACTAGGAGGGAAGACTCAGCTTCATTTGATGTCAACAGATCACATATTAAAGTGCTTGATACAATTAGAGTAAGACATACTGCATTGGTGTCGATAAAAAACAAATAATAGAAAAGGTGGCATTACAAGTGAGTCTGGAAGACAGATCTGCTAGAAGTCAGAAGCGGTCTGGGCTGAAACTTCGAGGAGTCACAACAGTAGAGTAGGCAGAGAGGCCTACCAGAAGGACTTCGACTTGAGACAGAGGGCAAGGGTTAGGGGGTGGGGAGGAAGAAATGGAAGAAAGGGAGGCTGGGAGAAGGAAAACGAAAGGCCGGGAGGAGAGAAGATGAAGAAAAGGATAAGAGAGAGAGAAGTCAGGGAGAGGTGGAAGGACGAGGTAGCAGGGGAAGAGAGGGTGGAAAAGAAGGGAAAGAGGGGGAAATGGAAGACAGGAGGGGAAGGAGAAAAGCACGAGGGGAACGTCAAGAGGGGAAAAAGTAACCGACGTAACAGCAGCCATAGGAGAACAGTTTCAGGCCTCCAGCAGCAAAATGTGCACAGCTTTCTAAATTAGCACAGGGACCGAAATATCGATGATGTAGGTGTCTTACCAAGAATTACTTGACTAAATTTTAAAATAGGAAGCAGCCCTCGTCGTTCGTTTGGGACTCGGAGCAACCGCAGCCTGGCCCAAACTTAGAACAAATAACATTCTTGTCAGCAGCGTCTCCCTCCACATAAGCCCGCGAGTTAAACGCGCACTCTCGCGAGTATACGCGCACGCGCGCGCACGTGCACGTGCGTACGTATTCACATGCGCAATCGCGCTGCCACGTTATTCCCGGTTTGTCAGAGCGCGGACAGGCTGACCCCGCGGTTAGAAGTGCGAGAGATGCCCACGGACGGTAGTAGTTCCGCCGACGGGCGCGGTGAATGGCGACCGCGACGTCCTACCGCTGGCGGGAGGCGGTCCCAGCGCGGCGTGAGGAACCCGGGTGACGGACAGGGCTGGCCGGGGAGACCCCGAGAGCCGGCCGGGCATGGGGACGGCCCGGCCTGGCTGCGTTCACACGTCCCCAGCACAAGCCCCGGCGGCTTCGGGCCTGGCTTCGGGAAAGCGCAGCCTGTGGGGAAGAGGTGCCCAGCGCCCACGGCAGCCGGCTAAGAGGATTTGACGAACCCAACTGGGTGCTTCTGGATGTGTGTAGAGCAAGGGAAGTAGCCCACGAAGCCAGCTGGCAAACGCGTTACCCCAACGTCTACCTGGATTATTTTACGTTTATCGAAGATCTCTTTGCATCTGTGGCTCTAAGTCGTTTGGCCACAGAACTTGGCTGCGATTGGCTGAAAGTCGGAGAATAGTTACACACAATGTCCTGTACATCGAAGAGGAAACTACCTTTAGAGAATCCTGCCATTCATTCTCTTTTCAATTCATGTAACACAGAGTCGTTTGCTAATTCTACAACTAAAACAGTTTTATTGGGGGGAGGCGGGCTGTAAATAAGGGAAAAGAAAGCAATTCTTGCACCGTTGGAAAAAAGGGAAGAGTGTCAGCAGAAAACAACAGAAAACATGTAGAATAAATATTGGATATTCTGAAGCAGGTTTTTAGAAAAATCCTGATTGATGCAGATTCTTTCCCTTGCATTGTAGAAAGTATCTTATGTTTGCCTCACTGCAAAGGTTGGTTTTACAAGAATAAAACTTGACTCAACAGCTTGCCAATACTAAAACCCATGGATATTAACCAAGATGAGTAAAGAAACAACTACAAGGCCCAAATTTCTAAACTTACATCTGGAAAATTAGGAATGGAGGTCTACTGAGGAACTTCGGAAATTTCAGAATCTGTAATCCCTTTGTGTCATAACCAATAAAGACTGATTACTTAGTGGAAGATTAATCTTGTCTCTTCCAAAATATTTTAAGTGACAGGTGAAATCAAAATAGAACAAAGCATATATTGTATATGTTATGTGTTAAAGTGTTTTCAAGAACATCTGAAATATGAAAATGACATATTTTTGCTTAACTTTTACACTTTCATATATTTTATTTTTTGAATAGGTAGTAGTTTCACCAGGCTCATAAGAGAAAAGGTATAAAAAAATACAGGGAAGAGTCTTCCTTGCCTGTTCCCCATGCACTCAGTTCCCACTGCAACCCCACACAGAATCACAGTTATCAGGTCTTAACGTGTTCTTCCAAAATGCCTTCAGCGGGGAGGGTATAGCTCAATAGGAGAGTGGGTGCTTAGCATGCACAAGGTCCTGGGTTCAATCCCCAGGACCTCAACTAACAACAACAACCAAAGTGCATTGGGGAGGTCAGTTATGTTATTGGTCTCAACAGAGGAGTAGACCTACCACCCAATGACGTCAGGCTTGGCCATTTGACCAGTGAAATGTGGGCAGTAGTGATAAATGTCACTTCTGAATACAAGTTTGAAGAGCGTTGGCCACTTCCATCATTTACATTTTCCATCTTGTCATACGAATGGGATGTCCCAAATAGGCAAGGCTTCTTCAGGCTGAATCTTGAATTGAGGAAGATGCAGAGAGCAGAGCTATAGCCCACCCAGAGCAGATAT